ATATATATATATACACACACACACACATATACCATGTTTTGCTTATCCATTCAACTATTGATGAGCATAGAGGCCACTTCCAAGATTTAGCTTTTGCGAATTGTACTGCTAAAAACATAGAAATGCATGTATTGTTGTAATAGGATGACTTTAACTCTTTCAGGAAGCTACACAGAGTAGGAACACCTGGGTCAAATGGAATTTCAATTTTTAGTTTTTAAAAGAATCTCCATACTGATTTCCATACTGGCTGTACTTATTTATATGAAATCTTATGTGCAGAGAATACATAGGTGTAAGGAGCATTTGTCCTTACACACTCCTCCAAGGTGGCTATGGTAGATTCTGAAAGCCAATTACTTAGAGGAGACAGAATGGGTGTAGAGCACTGGAGAAGAAAGCTCTTTACGAATTAATTGGCTCACTCCTGTCTGTGATCATAGAGAAAGGTCAGGAAGAAGTGGACAGTCTCTGCTGTCAGCCTGGAGTTTTCCACATATGGAACCATGCTTCTCTTCCAGCCCATCATCCCTTTCAAGGCCGAGAACAGGGCTGCTCACTTCACAGATTTGGTTGATTGACAGGGGGAGATTCATAGAAAGCTTTGGAGAGTATGAAAGGAGCATGGGGAGGGAAGGTCATTGGGCTAGCAAAAGTTGCAGAAATTAAATAAAATTTAATAGACATTAATGCAAAACCTACATTTAAAAAAATCAATTGCACAAAACAGGATAGAGGAGAGAGAGCTCAACAGAAGTTCTTATAAAAAGACTCAGAGGTTTCCCTTGGCTACAGGCTAGCGATGAGTCAATAGTATGTGTGGCAGCCAAAAAGCTAATGCAGAGTCAAACTGCACTGAGATATGCAGTTTACAGGATACAGGAGGGGAGCTCACCACTCCTGCCCCAGACAGGACATATTTAGAATGGAGGGGCTCAGCTCTGGGTACCACGTGTGAAAAGAGCCATTAACAAATTAGATCTCCTAAAAGCCAGTGGTCAAGATGATGACAACTGAGAGAGCATGCCACTCCTGTATGGGGGTGCTGGACAGAGGGGAAGTGTGTGGGGAAAAAGTGGAAAATATTTAGCTCTCTTTAAATAACGGAATCGTTTTGCTGTGAAAGAAGCATTGAACATGTGTGTGTGCAGCTTCAGAGCTAGAAACCCTGGATGGGAAGAAATAACAGGGAGACTGGTTTTGTCTGAATGTTAGGACAAGCTTACCACAATAGGATCTGTGCCACAGGGGTGGGCTGTCACATTCTTGTTAATGGAAGAAAGAGAGGAAGCAAACAAGAAGGGAGGGAGGGAGGAAGATATAATATATATATATATATATATATATATATATATATATGAGCATGCCATGTGTTCTACACTGAGCTATGCTCTTGTTTTAAAGTGAGGAGCATGACAGATGTGGGCTTGCCTGTGTGGAGTTTAGAGACCAACATGGAAGGCAAAGATTAAATACATAATCACACAGATAAATTGCAAATGTTGCTATGAGAGAAAAGAACTGGTATAAAAGGGAATAAGAAAAGAGGGTAGGAATAATTTGAGTTACAAGTTTTCAGTTACATAAAGGATTTGAGCTGAGGCAGGAGGGTAACGAATTCTCCGAACATAGTAGAAGATACCCTGTGTTTTGGGACAGAGCTGGAACCAGCCCAGTAGCTTCCTCTCCGGTGGCTGTGTGTCAGTCACCTGGAGAAAGATTTTCAGTAGTCTTTGATCCACCTCAAGATATTCTGAATCAAAATATTTGGTACCAGAGACTCTGAAACCCTATGATAACATGTTAAACGAAAGAGCTGGATGAAAATGCACATTCCTTGATCCCAGTATCTAGGTCTCACTTATGATTTTAATCTCTTTGTTTGCATCCTGGAATTAAATATCTCTAATTCAAAGCTTGAATACTTTTGTCTCTTTAGAATCTGGTTTACAGAACAATGAAGAAATTTCTAGCCAGATATGTACCTGACCTGAATTTTTGCAAGAGGTGGATACCATTCCCCTTGCCAAACACTTCGGAAAAAGTGTAGCTGGTGCCCGAGGTCCCTCTAGTGGTTAGAAGTTGTAACTTCAGCTCCCACTTCTCTTCCAGGCTCAGGTTTGGACAGTGAATTTGCTGATGGGGGCTCTAGGAGAGATGAAGAGGCCCTGTAAAAAGAAAGCAGATACATCTAAATATATGTTTTAGAAAGTTCTTCTCTAGAATTAATGTTAAAAGTAGAGGTGGCAGATCTCAGGAATTGTTTTACAACTCTCCCTGCCTCTTTTTGCTATGTCTGGGATGATCTAAATTTAAAAGGGGTTGAGGGATATATAACTAACAAATCAGATAGATCACTCCCCAGGATATCAGGACATTAATTAGGGAGTCATTTTTCATTCTCTGGGAAACACATAACATCTCAGTCTTGGGTGGCTGGATAGAGGTATGGGTTGAGTTGTAAGACTGGGTCATACCTTCTGTGCTATGTCACTCACTACTTTCCGAGTTTTAATTTTCTCCCCTGAGAAAAAAATCAGGTAATGACACTTGCCCTACCTAACTCACAGGTTTGATGTAAAAATAAAATGGGCAAGCAGATGTGAAAGCTGTAAAATGTGTTGCACCTGAGAAGAAATATTCTCCAATTAGTAGTAAAGAAGACTCTGCCTTGCAGGCAACTGGGGAAATGCCCACTCCCCTTTTGGGCCCCTCCACTGAAATGTAAGTTTTTCCAAAGGTAGGAGGACACAGGAGCAGAACTGTTGGGAATTACCCTCTGCCTCTTTCCTTGGATCTTTACTTAGCTTGGGACCAAAGAGCTACAGAATCTGCCTGAGACAGTGTTTAACAGGAAGCTCTGAGAAAGCTTTCCTTTAAAAGAGAAGCCAGCATGGAGATGTGTGGGGGGGGGGGGGGGTTCCTGTGTGTCAATGGAAGCTGTTGGTGGGCATTTTGCTGGCATTTGGGCTGGCTCGTGGGTAAAGCAAGTTTTATTTAGAGAAGATCATAAAATGTTTGTGGGCTGCCAAAAAGCAGCAGTCTCTCTGCATACCCTTTCTCATACCTCACCTTATTTCAGGGACTCTAAAATGACTGCATGCCAACTTTTCTCCCAGTCTGCTGCTGGCTGCTGTGGTTCCATTTCTTGGAATATGGCTCTCTGTGGGAGGTGGAGGCACTCAGAGCACTTGTCTGCTCAGCAACCATTGAACTTCCCCCAACTCAGTGAAACCCTTGTGCTTGCCACATGTCCTACCAATGCCACTCCAAGTGGATCACAATATCAGTGTCATCTGTGATTTCCTAGGAAACACACGCTCTTAGATGCCACTCCAGACCTGCTGTAGAATCAGAATCTACACTTGAACAAGATCCTAGGTGATGTGTTTGCACACTGACATTGAAGAGGCACTCCACAGTTTGTTGAATATTCAGTCTGACTCTGTCTTCATCCAGAGTCTTCACCTCCCACCCTGCCACCAGCTCATGTAGACAGAAAGTTCTGGCCCCTGAACCTTTCCCTCCTTCAATCTTCCTTTTGTTGAGACTCTACATCATCATTCAGGACTTTTCACACACGGGACCACCCTACACAAACACCTAGTTTCCATGCTTTAGAAAAAAAAAATGCCAGAAAACCATAGCCCCATTCTTTCATAGACTTCCTCTGGCCCAGAAATGTAAAACTTCCTCAGACCTTCCCCTCAACTGCACAGGTGTGGAGGGTGTGTGGTGACAGAAAACACAATCTTCTTTCCTTCATTTCTTCCTTTCTTCCTTTCTCCTGTTCTGGGTAGGAGGGACTTCTAGGAAAGGTGACTGTGGAAGAACTGTGAGAAGGGAGAGTAGAGTCAGAGGTGAGCACTGAGGAACTGCCCACAGAGGAGTTGGTCTCAGGCTGGCAAAGCAGTGCTTCTGCAGATAGTAGGCCAACCAAGGGATCGCCATGCACATAGGTCTCACAGGGGCAAGCAAGCTTGCTTACACATGGGTGTGCACAACACAGACAGTCTCCTGCTTTGGGGCCCTGTGTCGGAGCACCATGTCCTTTAGGCAGAGGCTATTACTAGTGGCCAGGCCCCATCTGTGTTTGGTGGCACAGACCCCACCTAGTCCGATCTATACTTCACACACAGTCTGTGGATGCCTGGAAGAACTGCTAGATCTCTCCAGGCCCTGGACTGGATCCTTCAGATATCCAGCACCCACAGACATTTTGTACTCTTTTGCATCTGACTCTAGTAAGCATTAACTAATATAGATATCTGTGTTGTAGTGTATGTATTAAAGACAGAGGAGAAGCCTTTGCAGGCTAATGTAATCTTTTTCTAATGTAGAAAAATGGGGCCCTCCAATCAGAAGTTAAGCAGCTTTTCCAAATATAAACTATTAGGAACCATAAAAATCTAAAATTTGAACTCAAGTCTATGTTCCAGAAAATCCTTGCTTCAAAACCCTTGCTCTTTTCTCTCTTACTTTCAGCTGGTAATAAGTCATAACAGCTCAATCTTGTTGCTATATTTCACATCCTAAATTCAAGCTGACCTTCTGAGAAGGATTGTAAGGTGAATCAGGTTCAGCCTTGTTGTTTTACAGATGAAGACTGAGGCCCAAGGTGAGCAAGTTTTCCATTTGATTGTGATACTCAGAGTAGTATGACAATGTCATCATCGTCATGATCTGGACCAGGTTGGGAAGGCCGGCACTGGGGTGAGGAAGACAGCAGGATCAGACAGCCCACCTTCTCCACATCAGAGCAAACTGGATCAAAGTTATACATGTTTACTCATCATGAGCCTGCCTAGGTGCCCTACCCACCTCCCAGCTAAGAGAGGAAGATGTCCAGGGGAACAAAGTTTGGTTCTCCAGCAGCCCCCTCCTCCCAAAAGGAGAACAGAAAAGAATTCATCATTTAGAGCCCACTTCCTTCTGGCCTCACCACCAGGGGCCACATCCAGATGGAGAAAATAGTTAAGAGGGTCTCACATTTACATACATTTGCATATGTTTGCATATCCACACAAGAACATGTAGTTCATTCTCAGGCAATTTTCAAGTAAATGTGATTATTGCCATCTTCGGGTTGTCATGGATAGATTTTGCTCTTCTCACTTTGCTTCTCACCCGCCCACAGTTCCTGAGCCCTGATTCTGGCCCAGTGAGTGTATGTGTGTCTGCTCCTGCAAACACAGTGGGAAGGGCGCTCCTAAGCGAACTCAGGGACATGGAGCCCCAGCAGAGAGGTGGCAGGGACAGTCCACAGGCAGCATGGCTTCGCAGCCATGCTTGGACTGTAATGGCTATTGGGTCACATCTGTTCCGTTTGTGCCAAGGTGGCAAATGCATAGATTGAACATGCTTGGCAAGTTACAGGCTTGTACTCTGTGATGGTGTCGGGGCAACACCAAAAACCCTCTGGTGCAGGAGGCAGTGGGCAGATGATGAGCACTACATAAACTGTGCAGCCGAACCTCAACCTCTGAGTTCCTTTAGAATCTTTCCCTCATTACTGTATTACCCCACATCTTCTCACCTTTTCTTGTAGAATCAGCTTTTCCTACTATTTGGCTCACAGTGGGTCCTTCCCAATAGGCTTTTAATGGTGCAGGGGCTCAAAAGGACCCAGAGGGGTGCCTATTTGGTCTTTGAGGCTGTCAGTATGCAGGCACCATGAGTTACTAGGAAAACACAGGAAATAAAAGGACAAACCAGTTCCTTGCTGTTCTCCTTGGCACTGAGAAAAGAGTCTGAGAAGCAATAGACCATCAGGACTTTTCTTTGGGGGAAAAATGCTTTTTGCTTATGATCTCTGTGTGTTTGAATATTCAGCATACGAGTTGAAGGAGAGTACTACTTTATAAACTTCATAGATTCCACTTTCTCTGGTGTGAATTTGTGAACCAACTCATCAACAGCTATCTCCTGTGTGCCACAGGAAGCTCTGAGCTGGAACATAGTAGGGCGTCATAGATACTTGCAGACGTGCACTGCAGTAGAGATACAATACGGCTATTGTGGGATTCAGAAAATAAAAATGTACAGAGCCTGCCAGCTAGGAACTCAGAGTCCATAAAGATACTTGCAATATTTTATTAATATTTAATAACAGAAGGAATGCACACAGTTGATGTTTTTGTTCAGACTGCTATAACAAAATACTATAAACTGAGTGGCTTATGAACAACAAACTTTTTTTTTACAGTTCTCAAGGCTGAGAAGTCCTAGATCAAGGTGCCAGCAAATTCAATGTCCAGTAAGGACCAGTTTTCTGGGTCCTAAAAACCTCTTCTTGCTGCATCCACAGGAGGTGAAGGGGATGAGGAGAGCTCTGGTATTTGTTTTGTAAAGAAACTGATCCTAAACCCTCATGACTCAGTTCCATTTCAAAGGCCCCACCTTCTAAATCTCATATTAGGGGTTGAAATTTCAACATAGAAATTTGGTGAGGGGCAGGACATGCAGGCATTCAGTCTGCAAAAGTCATGAGAGAAAAGCCAGTAAAGTTAGAGACCAAGCTTAATTCCCAGCTGTGTGACTTGGGCCAAGCCATAGAAATTCTCTGAGTCTCAGGTTCTACTGAAAATGGACTTGCAAGCATGTATATTTAAAGGATTAAATTGACCAACATGTAAAGAACTTAACACATTATTTGGCACTGAGTAAATTTTTAAGGTATTAGCTCAAATATAAGACAGGCATAATTAAGTAGGAAAATATGTGATTTAGAGTTGTACAATTTTTAAATTTAGAAAAAAAAAGTACAAACTCTCTAATCCAGTGTTTCTCCAATAATGGTCTGTGGATTGCTGCCAGTTTTTGACAATTTTTATTTCCAGTCTGCAGCAAAATATAAAAACAGAAAGGCAGTGTAACGGGAAACTATTCTTTCTTTGGTGTTCAGTGTCACTTTTTTTTTTTTTTTTTTTTTGTGTCACTTTTTCAATGAGCTAATGAAAGGCAGGTGGTAAATTGCTAATCTTATATCATTCCTCCATTTATTATTACTGATCCAGGGTGCTGGGAAACCCTGTACACTTGAGAGTTCAGACAGGGTTAGGAAAATGCATCTAACTGCTCTCTGTATGATTTCCTTCAGATCTTTGAAGTCAGCAATCAAGAGGGAGCTAGCCACATGTACAGAACAGCCTTGGTTTTAAACTCAGCTCTTGCTTTGTTTGCACATTGTTTCTTCCTCTAAACATTGGCTAAATGTGGTTAGGAACATCTACCTTGGAAGAATGTTGTAGGGATCAAGGAAGAAAACGCATGTGAAAACAGTTTGTAAATGGTAAAGTTCTGTGGAGATGTTACACTTATCAATAAAAGACAGTCCTGTTTCCTCAACGAGTTGTTCACATGACACAGTATCTATTACACATCAATGTTTTATAATCTTCTGAACATGGATATATTATTAGTTAATAATATATATATTAGTTGATACTCTCCATGAAACATTAGACCCAAAACTGAACCTAATCCTTAGCTCTACTTGACTCTATGGATAAAACTGGGTAAAGAACCAGACTGGATGGTCTTTTGGGTCTTGGGTTTTATGACAATTATACATTTACACCTTCTGACCTGGGCATTCTAATTTTATGTCACAATCTCAGCACAAATGGATCATGTTTTCTTTCTAGCTAGCGAATATCCCCAAAATCACATGACAGCTAATATTTTGGAGCAACTAGAAGATTTGACCTTTTTATATTGGCTTCAAGACTATAACAATATTTAATCTACCTTTTCCAACTTAAAAACTTTCTCTTTGGAGAGAGTGGTAACAAAATAGGAGCATAACAGGGCTGCCTTTTCTTTGACAGCTGTCCCCATTTTATTACCTTCATTTTCCTCATTATTTCATCTTCCTTTTACATGGAATATTCCTTTAAAAGCAATCTGAGGCTATTATTTTGCCAAAAATCTATGTATTCTGCAATAACCTGCCATGTGATGTCCTAAGAAATATTGTGAAATAGAAAGAAGTAGAACATAGGGGTTAAGAGTGTCAACTCTTAGCCTGGCTTATTTTGGATTCAAATTTCACCTCTGATACTTATTGTTTTCTCTGATCTTCAGCCAGTAACTTAACCACTTATTTCTTAGATCCTTTATCTATAAAAAGAAGATAAATAGTACACCTACTTCCTCATGTTCTTCTGAGGAATCAATGAGTAAATATATCTTAAAGTGCTAAAAACAGCACCTGGCACTCATTAAATCTTCCATAAATGTGCAGCACTAATATTATTGTCCTGACAGGAACGCATGGACCTAAGGGTTTGTTCTGTGTTATGCTCTCCCCTTCATAGCTTTGTGTAGGTCTTTATTCAATCTGAGCTCATCAAAGAGCTCTTTATAAATCCTCATGGGTTTTGTTAGCTGCCTTCCCCTTTTTTTGTCAGGATAACTCATGATTATTTTATTTGAATTTCATTTCTTAGAAGTGCCCATCCCATTAGAGAGTGGAGCTACATTAGTTTGCATCCCAGGTCACAAGATCATAATCTTTTGTTCTGAACTTTTAGAAATCTGCTCTTCTTACGTCTAGGGTCCACTGATCTCAATATTTTAATAAATTTCTTCATATTACCTATTTCCCAGAAGGATTAGAGGTAGTTGCCATATTTTATTATAATAAGAAGCCACTCTATAACTTATTGCTAATTAAAAATGCCAGAATCATTTTTTCTCTTGGTTTCCTATCACATAACATCATTATCCAGGTCTTCTTTACTGGTCACAATTAAGTCGTGAGTAGCAGTTCCTCCTCATTGCTTTTTCTACCTACTGAGGAATGAAGCTGTCAGCCAGGCTAGGCAAGAATTCATCAGATATTCTGCATGAGACTTCCAGCAGATCTCCTGCTCATTGACATCCCTCATCACCTGTGGATCTTGCCTCTCTGCCAATTTCTGCAGTTTTGAGAAAAGAGCTTAGGTAGGTATCTATGTACCAATTGCACGAGTCTGCCTCATACCTTCTGTAAGTATGAAACTTTCTAGAAGATTCTCCATTCTAAACACCACCCTTCAAACATGGCTAAGACTTCACTAGATGGTTATTATTTTTTAAATCAACTGTTATTGAGGCTGTTGGGTTATTTTTTCATGTGAAGCTGCTTTGAAAAAAGATCCCTTAAAGACTTTTAGTATCTGACTCTGTGCACTATAGGTTTAGAAATCGTGCCTCATTCAAAACCCTGAAAGGAGAATGTGAAATATCTGGGCTCCTGATGGATATCTTGTCACAGGGCTCTGACTGATACTGAATTGTTGCACCTCTGGTACCACTCAGCCTACCTAAGCTGTTGACAGTTGGTTTGCTAGATGCGTTTCTATGTATCTTCTGTCTGCAAAGTAATTCTTAGTACTTCCTTTACACCCCCCCCCCAATCAGGAAAAGATGCCTACTCTCACTAGTAATTATCAAGGTTAAACTGGATGTAAATTCCCCAAGGGCAGTGTTCAGACACCAAAGAAAGTTAATGAAATACAATAAAATAATAATTTACTGAGTCAGAAACTGTTGTTAGGATAAAAAAAATACAAAGAGGAATAGGATATTCTTTGCTGTAAAGAAATCATAGATATGGTGGAAATAGAACAGATCTTTGCAATACAGTGTGGTGAGTGAGGTGATGGAGATACTGCCATGCCTGTTAGCACAGAGGAGAGGATCTAGGCCAGCCAGAGGGGAGTGAGCAAATACTACGTTTTGTCAGGGTGGCCTCCAGTCAGCAGCGATCTTGAACCAAGTTTGAACACTTAGGAAGAGTATCCTGCTCTACACAAATATTATTCGATTTCTTGTTTTAGACATATATCATTGTGATGCAAAACTAATCCTTATTTCTCCTCCCTGTTAAAATGATCAGCCTCCAACTGTAAAGCTGAGAGACAAAATTGCCTTTTTGTCTATAGTCTGAGGATGACCCAAACAATAACCTGTATATAAGCTTTGGGACAAAAGTCTGGCCAATAACCCTTAACATGTAAGGTGGGTGGAATCAGCCTCTGTTAGGAAAGGTCTGAGAGAAGAAGTAGAGGACTCTGGGAGAATCAGGATTCTGCCCAATTCTCTTTGTAAGAGCAGCTTACAAATTCAGGTAGGGGACTGGCCCAGGAATGGCCAGGGTTGTTGGACAAGAGAGTAGATTGGCCATAAGTAGAGCCTGGAGTAGAGGTTCATTCCAGTAGTGCCTTCTGGAGAGAACCCTCCCAGAATGGAAGCTGGCCCATCTACACCTGAATTGCTGACCATTTCTCTTCTATGAGAACTCAGAATCACCTGCATGCAATGCAGTCTCTGCCTCAGAGATATCATCAGCAATTCTGAAGTCAACACAATGGATCTAATGCAGTGCTTCACAGGATCTCTGGTTAGACTCACCTGAGAAATACTGGTGGACATGCTGAGACTTTAGAAAAACCCCTAATCACCTAAAATGGTAATGAAAAGGTTATTTTGAATTTAGTTTTCTTCTATCACCATTCAATGGGAAAAGAGCTCTAGAACTTATTTTTAAATGATAGACTGAGGCAGCCTGAGACAGAGGGAAATGGATGTCTCTGCTACACAAGGATAGTACCTGGCCAGATGAGGTGAGAAGGGAGAAGAGGACTCCAGGCAGAGGAGACAAAGTGAGGCACCACAGGGAGGAATGACACCATGGTCCATGCAGAGAATAGCAAGCAGATCTGTACTTTCTCACACAAAGGGGGAAGCGGAGATCGACAGGAGAGAGAGGAAGGCATTAGACCATGGAGAACTTTGTAGAACAAGTTAGGGAGCATGTATTTTATCTAATAGGCAGTGAGAACTCATGGACATGTTTTAAGTAGAGAAATGAGATGATGAGGGTTTCATTAAATTTAAATTTTTAAAAAAGGACATCTTAGCTAAATCACTTTGGAGATGGTAGAAATAAAGGGCTTGAGAGAGCAAATTAGGAAGCTGGTATATTTGGCCAGATAGGTAGTGAGAGGGCCTGAGCTGGGAAAGTTATGGGAGGCGTGGGGAGGAGATGGGTCAAATGGATACCTCAGTGGCAAGATGTGACTCAGAAGGCAAGAGGAAAGAGGGGGGTGAAGGCAAGGATGATTTTAGAGTGATAGCTTGGATGAAAAGGCATTTGTACAGTGTCTGCTACACAATGGGCATTTGACAAATATTTATATAAGTTCCGGTAATTATTGTGATGATTGTTTTGTCTATCATTACTATTGAGTGCTATTAAAATGAGAATTCTAGTTTCAGGTTACTCACTGCATGATATTGAGAAAGTCATGCTGTCTCTTCCACAAAATGAGAGATGGACCAGATAAATCCCAAAGCCCTTTCCATCTTTGACTTTTCTGGCAAAATATTATAAACCAACGCTGCAAAGAGAACATAAAATTTATGACAATATTTTCATAGGTAGGTATACTTCAAGCTTCAAAAAAACTAACTTAAAATGAATTTTTGGAGGAGCATTGTAATTAGAGGAGTACTATTACTCTCATATCATTTCCTCTCCCCCAGGTGTCCAAAATTTTTTAAGGGACCATAACATATGTTTTGGTTTGCCTAAAATGTCTGGTAAAGGGCCAGGTACATTTTCACCACTCAACATTTACTTGAACTGTATTACATTATGTCTCACTGCAGGGCTTAATTCTAATCCCAAATACCTCAAGTATGCATTCATTCATTCACTCATTCCTTCTTCCATTCAACCAACAGATGCTCATAAAATACACAATCAGGTGCAAAATGAATAAGATATCAACAGTTTACTCAAGGAAGGAACAGTGTCACAGAGCAGATAAGTATGCATGATGCCATAATGGATGCTGGTAAGTAAATATGCTACGAGAGAGTTATAGATAAAGTGATGTGGCTGTCAAAAGAAGAGAGTAATTACCTTCAGTGAAAAGACAGTAGTGAAACAGATGTCTTTAGGAGATACTCCACTGGCTTGTGCATTTCACAGAAACTTTTATAGCTTTTAGCCCCGTTTGCAGGGACTCAATCAAAAGATCTGGAGAAGGCTGGGTAGGTGCTGGAGGCCTGACCCATGAGGTAGGGTTCTGCTGGAGTGAAACTCATCAGATCAGTCAGTGGTCAACTTCTGGCCCCTGGCTTCATAGGGGAAGCAGAGTGTGCAGCAAGATCAGTGCACTGAGATTAGAATGTCTGGGCTCCACTCTCAGCACATGATACTGCTTAATTGGATGACCTTTGACAAACAGAGACATTCATCCTTCGTTGCTTCATCTGAAGGGTCATTGGCAATGCCTGGTTAACCTTCCTTGTGAAGATCAATAAGCATGATGGTAGTAATTAACGCTATACCTAATGGTCACTAAGTGCTTGCTATGGTCTATGCAACCGTCCAAAATACATAGATGCATTAATTCATTTAGTTTTCACAGTTACCCCGTGAAGTAGTTACTCTTGTGTGTCATTTTTACGTAATAAACAACACTAGAGGATCAGGAACCATCCCAAGGTAATGCAGCAGGAAGCAGCTGAGAAGGTATCAAATCCAGGCACTTTGGCTGCTGAGCCCATGCTCTCTGATCACTATGCCCTGTTGCTTCTTTTCTCGTGCAACAGCACTTTGTAGACTGTAACACAGCATTTAACGTGAGCAGTAATGTTGCTCCAATGATGTTTTCCAATTGGTCCAGTCTAAAGGTATAAAGAGGCAATAACAATTACATAGGAAAATGTACCAGGACATAAACCTTATAAATTGGAACCAGTCCTCTTATAGTAGCCTCTGGGTGGGTAGTAGATCTGCTTAGGAAATAAAACTGTAAGTGATATAGTTTATAGAACTCTTTAGTACTTAAAAGAAACTTAAAAGTGATTCTCTAGATGAGACTTTTCACTGTTCTTTTAAATATGTGCTCTGGAAGTTTAAGTGACTGGATGAAGGCCACACAAATGGCAAAGCAGAGAACTGAAAACTAGTGATTATAGAGCTGAGAATTAAAAGAGGGTGATGTTCTTAAAAGCTAATGCTATAAAGTTTGGTGATTGATGAATTGACCTTCTGTCAAGGTGTATTTCTCAGTAGTTGAACTGCTTCCCTTAGCAAGAGTTAGATACATACTCTCTTGATTTGTGATGGTTCTTGGAGAAGAACAGAAAGTAAACCTCATTGGTTTGTTTAAATTCTATCACTTGCCCTGTGACATAAAACATCTGAGTTTATCTTCTTGCACTGTCAAAGCATTTAAATATCACTGTGAGTAGGATGTTTTTCTGTCTAGTCATTCAAAGGACTTATCTGTTTTAAGATTAGGAAATTTGAGCCAAGACTAGGAAATTTGGGCCACTTACAGGAATTCCTTTGACTATCATTTTGGGGTCTAAGAAACTTCTACTTATGTCTGGGTTCTATGGTTCTTTTATGTTAGTCTCTGAAGCCAATCTGATAAACTCATTTAAGCTGTATCTCTCACTGATAATAGTTTTTTCTGTGATTCAGAAGAGATATGTGCTTTAGCAGGTGTTTTCATGAAAGGAATGTGTGGTGCGGGGACAGAGCCCCCATAGAGGTGGGAACCTGGGGAAGAGACTGTGACATAAAGCAATAATAAAAGGAAAATAATAATAATAGCATAAGCAAAACTACAATTTATACACTATGTGATTTGAGCCAGAAATGTGTATTTTGAATAGAACTTCCTTGAAAGTTTTTCTGAGAGGACCAAATAAATGCTAGACTTATTTTAATTATTTTCTTCTGTTTTCTAGATGCAACCTTGTCACATATTATATTTTCCCAAGGCATTTTGTGTTGGGGAGAAAGAATCTTATATTTGGGTGGTAGATAAATATAATCCTAATTTTTATAGAAGTTACAATTAATGTTAGAAATAACCTCTTAATTAGTTAACTGATCAACTCTTTAAACAAATCTTCATTACGGATTTTTAAAGATCCCAATCATGGAGAAGGACTTATTCAAAAGAAGAGTGAGCTCCTTTTCTAGACTAGAAGCTAGTCTGGCCCAGTTCTAGGTGTGCGAGAGACGGGAGGTGGGGGTTTTGCCCAGGAGTGCCTATGTCCACAGAGAGAGCAGATCCAAGGGCATGGAGAAATGCTCTAAGTTCAGCAACAGGGCTCAGGCCCACAGTGACAGTTCAGTCAGAACATAATCCATTGGCTGCTGTTCAGTGCCCACAAGTTCAGGATGTTGGCACAGAAACAGGAGGTGTCCATCTGGGCTGGTAAAAGCACCTGCTTTCCACAAACATGTGATGAAGCAGGTGCCCGGAGCAGCTTCCAGACAGCAGGCGCTGTGGCCACTTTTGCCTCTGAGCACATTTCTATCATCACTCCATAAAGGGGAGAGAGAGTCACTCCTCAGAAGATCATGCCCCAGGACTCATTGGCTTTCCCCTTGGTTCTTCAGCTCCGCCTTCCCCTACAGCTGCTTCAGAGGACAAAGTCACTTTACTGCAATACGCAAAGCTCTCAGGTTGCAAACTATATTTGGGTGAATAGTTATAAGTACAGTTTTATTTCTTCAGTTTGCCATTTGCTGACACATAAAGAAAGTCTTTATCATTGTCTCCATCCTGCCTCCCAGCTTTAACTTTTATTCTCTCCATCCATCCCCAGTTGCAGTGATGCCTACTTATTTATTTTTTTGCTTCCTGGAATCACTGAGGGAACAATGTCCTTTCTGTTTGCCTTCAGGTCCACACCTCATTTTGAAGCCAAAGCTATCACCGTAATTGCTGGGTTCCAGCCTGGTGAGTTCTTGATTTCTGCCCTCAAGATTCCCCTGAACTAGTTGAGAAGGGAAATATGTTTGCAAAAGCTCCCATGGTTTCAGTAAGCACAATATGAGTCAACCCCTGGTTAGATGAGAAAGCTACTAGACTTGCAAAAGGGAGGTGGCCAATACTCTCCACATTTCATTGATCACATCCCGCCTGACATTTGGGCTGAACGCAGCGAACATTGTCAAACAGTGTGGAGAAGTTAAGGAGAGAAATGGTGAAGATCTGGAACCTACAACTAATTCGTTTTACATGTTTATTGATAACTTTATAATCATGGGCACAATAGCAATAGGATTTTTTGAGTGCTTAATGTGTGCAGTCATGACAATAATCACTCCCAATAGCCTATACAACTTAATCCTCACAATGACAGTTATCTTCATTTAAAGATAAGGAAATTAAATGTGATGGAAATTATGTGGCTTGCTAATACCATGGAGCCTATATATACTGTTGATCCAGGATTTGAACCTAAGCAGTCTGACTTTAAAACCTATGTGCTTAACACTAAGTGTAAAGTCGTGTGCTTTGTACTGCATGTTCAAAAAATTAACAAACCGACAAATACTGTCTCTGCTTTTATGGCATTTATATTAGTCTAGTAGTAGAAATAAGCAAATAAATACTTGTCATATGTTAATAAGAGCATTATAAACTTCTGGCTTGTTCTGGTGATAGAACGACACCATCTTTTTGCTTCCTGCCTCTTTCTCCTCTTGGCCATCCTGTAAGTGGTTATCAAATTAATCTCCCTAGGGATTTGGATCTTCATACAGACTACAATAACCTAACCTCCTTCAACATACACATGAACTAAAGGGACTAAGGAAGTTTACTGTAACAGAGAAGACTCTAGGAAACCCACTCGTTCTTTTTACACTGCAAACAAGCAAGTAATCCATCGCTCAGGTTATTCCCAACACATGGCCATAGGCCTGTTGCCTATCACATGCCAGGAACACTAAGAAGAATTCTAAGACGAATTCTGAAAAGGCAAGCCTGAGAACAGCTAATGATTAAATTAATTTCTTATAAGACGCTAAGGAAAGATCAATGATCTGAGAGAAATAAATGAGAAGACATGGTAGACAACCTTAAAGAGAAAGGTCACTGACAATAGCTTAATCTAGGGCATTTAAAACAAACAACAAACCTATCAGCAAACTGGTGATTTTGTTAGTGGGAGATAGAAAGTTTATATTTTGGAGTCAGTCAGTCCAGGCTCCAAATCTTACCTTATTTGGCTTCGAGCTATTGATATTGAGCAAGAGACACTTGAACTTTATGAGCAAATATTTCTTCTTTTGACACACTGAGGGTAATAATACATATATCAACAAAATAAATGACAGAGGATATGATAAATTCTTCTACATGGAGAGAGAAAACAGTAAGCCATTGTTATCTGCATTCACTCTTTAGTTCAGTGTCTCAGATCCTTGAATGGGGAAGTCATGTTGAAAATGCTGAACTAAAGTACATAAAAGAACCAGACCAGAAGGCTGGTGGGAGGAAAGTTATGTATTATTTGGAACATTTTGGTTATAAATGACAAAAATGTAACCTAAACTACATAAGAAAAAAGACAAGAATTTTAAAAATGTATTTGTTCATATAGCTCAATAATCCACAGTGGTTAATGTTGGATCCGGGGCCTCAAATGACATTGTCAGGTGTCTTTCTCTTAATCTCTAGCTTGTGGTGAAAATATTACAGCAGCTTTGGGCTTTCATGGTCTCTAGCACTGATAATTTTGAGTAGAGAAATCTCAGAGACTGTATTGATCCCTGGAAAACCCTATCTTTGCTGAAGCCACATATCCATTTTGGAACTAATCATGTCTAGTCCAAAGCCACTCTGATGGACCATCATGTGCTACATGCCCAGTACAGTGGTGCAGCAGACAATCCAGCTTAGGTACTCAGAATATTCCATCTCTGTGGATACAGCACACAGTTAGCAAGGGACAATTACTAGAAAAGCTTAGGGGTTTTTTTGGTTTTTTTGGGGTACTGGGGATCGAACTCGGGTCTTTGCACTTGTGCAGCAGGCGGCGACACCACTGAGCTAAATCCCCAGCCCCTAGTTTTTTCTTAACCAAAGAAGGAAAAGTGGATGAAGAGCAAAAATATAGCCAACAATATCTACAACTAGAAAGAGTTTAAAATTCAAGATATATGGCTCTTGACTAATGTGAGAATTATCAGTTAGGGTAAAGCCAGAAAGGGCATATGGCTGCTCATCACCAAGACATATGCTGATCAGCCAAACTTATGACATTTTATTGCCATGAAAATATTTTAAACAATTGCTACAATTGTTTGTGTTGTAATACTTTTTAATTTGAGCAAAGGGATTTTGAAGGAAGTAGGCCTCACTTTTTAGAGGGACTCACTTATCATAAACATATTAAAAATGAATTTATTAAAAACACAAATGTGTTTCAGCTCTTGGGATCCAGTGCCCAGGGCTGGTCTAAAGACACAAAACCCTAACATCTGTTCCAACAACACCTTTCTCTCCCCTAGAGAAGTGCTTCATCATGTCTCTTCTTTTGTCCTCAAAATAAAATGTAATTGTGTCCCAATATGACCAACTTGGTAGGTTTTGACACCATGGATATTCCCTAGCATGAGGAGAGGTTTGAATGGCAGAAGCTCTTCACAGAAAAAAACAAACTAATTAACTTGTCAAATTTGTCCTTTCAGATAACATGAATGCAGTGAGTTTTTATATAAAAGATTATCATTTCCCAGTAGTGCCAATTGTCCATTTCCATGCTGCTGTTTGCATTGCAATTAGTGCTTTTACAGAGACTCGCGGACTAGCACAAGCTGCAGGTGGCAGATGAGGAATGTTTGGCAGGGCTGAACAGTACATATTATTACTCCTAAGTTTAGATAATTCATAGCAAATATAACATACATACTTTTCAAAAGACATGGCACTGCTTCTGTACATTGGCAAGTACGTAGACATTGAACTCTATAATTATGATTTAATTTTGTAATGATATTTGACAAGAAGGAAGTAAAGTTTTAAAATATCAATTAAAACTTCAGCTTAAGAAAATTGTGAATTAAATAATATTTATTAACAGTAACTCATATTTGCCTTTTAATTTGAACACAGTTAAGTATTTTAGAACTATCTTCAGCACAAAAATTATCTTACTTATGAAATACTACATATTTACTTTTGCATTTTAATGAAAATATATTCAAACTTTGTGTACTTTGAAGAAAGATGTTTTCAAAACTCTTTAGGCCAATGAGAATGAATACAAGTTAAGAATGTGATTAAAATATTTAAGAAGTTTAAACTCTAAAAATCATAGTGTTAAAAAAGAAAAAGAGGATCAACTATTCTGAGCTGTAAACAATGAAAACAAACACACTTCTGACCTATAAGACCTATATATAGAATTTGTGATTAAGACATCTTAATTTTTTTGTTCCATAAAGATTTAATTATGAAAGCAATGCTTGTGAACAAGAATATTATAATTAAACTGAAACTTGACCAGATGAGAGGAAATGTGTGGAACTTCCTACTTTTATTAAATAAGACTTTAGCTACTAATGAAAATTATGAGAATAAAAAGAAAACTATAGTTAAATTTATAATTTGGAAGCAGCAAATGCGATTTTTCTGACACTGAAAGATAAAGTCATATTCACAAAAATGGCCATCTTTTAAAACTTGTTGGCTATTATTAGATGAAAATACTAGGAAATGGCCATCACAAAGCAGAATTCAACTCAAATGAATATATCATCAAAATTTTAGCCAAAAATGCAGATTATTTTGGTTCTATATACATTCTACAGTTAGAATTTTTCAGTAGAAGACAGACCACTAACCATAAGACATGATATTAAACAATTCAAGGATTATCCATAGTATTTTCTGGTTCTACTGAAGACGGAATGTGCTTTGACAAAAGGCAAGTCAAATTAGATTTTATAATTACTATAAGACATTTGATGGAAATGCCAACCAAATGCTGCTTAAAAAATAGTTAAATTTAGATTAAACAAAGAATGAAGAGACCCTGAATCATTTTTGTTAGTAGAAAATAGAATTAAGTGTAACATGTTATCCATTTGATAAGAAATACTGCTTACTATATTAATGTTAGCAAAAGTTTGTGAACACAACCACCAACATCAAACTAAGTTCTTTTTGCTATAAGTTGTATACAATACATAAACTCCAATTCTTCTGATAGCTGTTACTCTGAGTGGATTTATTATTTTGAAAAACAAACAAGCAAAACCAAAAGTCTTTTATCAAATGTTATGATGCAAAAAAAAGAAAAGAAGGAAACTTCAGTTTTTGAGTATGCAGAAAGACCATGAAGAAATCTTTAAGTGCGTGACTAGATTTTTGTGGTTTTGTTCATGTGTTTTTTTTCAGTTGTTTGAAATGGGCTTTCTGAAGTTTAAATTGTTCAACTTCATCCCTAGTGTTCTGTGCTTGCTGGGAGTGATGCTGTAAGTCATTGTTGCCTTTAATGTCTGTTCTTAGCTCTTTCCTCAAACATAACGTGAAGTATCTTATTCTTTTCTACAAATTCCAATTTACTTTAACTCTTTTGATGCTGTAGCTGTTTTAGTAAAAGTTAATGCAAATTATTGATGTAGAATGTTTTTACCAAATGAGCTAGTTTGTTATGCTTTGTAAAACAGCAGTATAGGGCTTTTTAAAGGTACTTGATAAAAGTTGCTGAAATTTTAGCTTAAAAAAAATAAACCTCAATATTTTAGATAAGAAAATGTTTTTTCTAAGCTGGGATAAATGACATGTGAAAGGTACAACAAAAGTTGTATTTGTATAACATAAACGTAATTCAAGAAAAGAAAAAAAGTATTTCCATATCTCTGAAGGAAAGAATTCATACACAAATATTTTTTATACTAATTTCTATACAAGCTATGTGTAAGTCCATTACAGACCATAATACTATCATAGAAAGAGATAACTAGACATTATCAGTTTTAGTTTTCTTTACAGTATTCCAGCATTGAAATTGTAAAAGAACTTCAGTAATACTGTGTAGATCTAGATACTGCTTCTAGATACAGTAAAGAATTATATGATAGTAATTTATATGATAAATTTAGACATTTTGTAACATATAGTGTGAAAAAGATTATTATATTGATCTCATTACAATGTTTAAATATTAAAATAAAATTTATGCTAATTTCCAACTTTAAATATTTTTAAGGATTTTCTTGTCACCCCAATTGCTACTACCTCAGAAAAACAAATTTTATTTAAAATGGCATTAACAAAAAATATCCAAGAATCACAACAACTCAAGGAAAAATATATAATTCGGTGTTGCTCACTGTAAGATAAAAATTATTTGAAAATATTAATTGAAAAAGATAGTTATTTTTCTGGAGTAAAAGTAAGAAAAATAAATTTATTGGAATAAATATGTATTTTAAGAAATAAGTATATGTATATTCTAATCCAAACATAGCTAGTCCATAAAAAGAACATCCAAACACATGCAACAATAATTTCAGACATCTTTCACATTTTGCCAACTCTCAGTGATATTAAAACCCTACCTCCATGTGTATTTTTCGTTTTGATGGTAGAAAGATATATTTGCCTAAGTAAAGTTTTAGAATATAGGTAATTTACCATCTTTTTGCTTAATTTGAAGCTTTTATATATTTATAGAAATATGGTCCTTTTTTATATTTCCCTACACTTCATATATGTCAGAGGCAGTCATGGCTAGAACAACCAAGTGTTTACCTGATATAACATTTCATTCAAAATATTCTCAACTCCCATTCAGAAAGTGTGGAAAGACACATGCAGGCCTCATGATCTCTTTGGTCCTCAGGGGTTTATATTCCCACACTTAGCTCTGGCTCCTGCTGGATTAGTTCAGTTATACATTGTTTCAAATGGAAAGCACACCTGCCCATTCATGTGTTCACATTCACGGAATACACACTTTTCTGCTTCAAATTTCCCACATATGGTGTATATCAGTCTTTACTAAAAGCTTAAAAAGAAGGTGAGGAGGGACATGGGTTTCAAAGCCATTCCCAAAATTCTCACTTCCCAGTGAATGTTGGTCTCCCTCTCCGAAATTATTGTACCTCCACTCCCATGAAGTATTTCAGATTAATGGACTGCACATACTTTTAACTCTTTCGGGCTCCTTTTTGCTTTTCCCGTCTTTATGTCCCTCTCCCTGCTCCCCTCCATGAATTCTGGATTCTTTTTATTCTATAGCACAGAACACAGCTCTCTCTAGTCTTTACTCCAAAACTCAATTCCAGGCCAGCTTTGGCTGTACCAGAAACCATTAAGGTGTTTGGCAAAGGGGCAGGCTACTACATTAGTGGCCAAAAAGACTGGTAGATTCCAGGAGATTATTTTTAACAAGGTTCATCCTCCAGAATGAAGCTGGTGTTTTAAATGGCAGTGCTCTTTTTGTTTTTTTCCCAGTTTTACCAAAATAGTTTTATAACAGCACAAGAGTATAGGCCTGTGACCCAGCAGGACCTAAGCATCACAGCATGGTTGCTGCTGGTAGGTGTAGTATCCATTCAGAATCACACAATAACTAGACCCATAACATAGCTTTATTTAGAAGGAAACCTCACTGCACAGAAGAGTGAACAAAAGTAAAATGAAGGTTCTGTTGTGGATCTGAACTGCAGCTTTCATGAGCCAGCACATAGGGAATAATCAGCAGGAGGAAGGTTGCTTGCTCATGTGGTAAGATGTCATTGTCCAGGAAAGCAGTGTGAGTCTCGGGTCCTCCCAGGGAGCTGTTAGAGATCAGGATTTGAGCGAGGGGCAAGCTAATTACCTCACTTTACCAAAGGCTCTCCATGAAGAAGTAATTGCCTGCTGACAGATAAGATCTCATCCTGGGAACATCAAGTCTTCCCCACTCCTCCATTTCATTTGGAGGAGAGGTGGAAACCACTCGTGTGTCCTGCTGCTCCTTCTACCTCAGCAAGACTCTTACTTGTCCTTGTATTAAAGTCCTTCCCTATTCTTGTGCACAGATGCACCAAGCATTCATTCTGGAATTTTCTGCTTCTTTCACTCCCTCAGGAGCAGGAGTCAGGGACTATTCAGAAGTCCAGACAAAGGCTCAGAATGGCACAATTAGAACTTTCTTCTCAGGAATTCCTTACCTAATGCCGCCATGTTTTTAGCACCAAGAGCCTACCATCCTGATCACCACTGATTGCACCAGGTAAGAAGGTGTGGATACACTCGCATCATCAAGGATTAGCCAGCTCCCTGTCACTTCATACACCAGTAGTCCTGAGTTCTAGCAATTCCACTTCCTATCTATTTCCACCTCCTTTTTGTTCTCTTCTTTCTTATCACCTACGGTCTCTTATTTGGATTATTGGAAGAGCTCAACAACTAGTTATTTTGTGTCAAGGGTTAATCCCCTTCTTCCAACAGTCAACAGAGTGATATTTTCAAAATGCCAGTTGAATTTCTGTGGCTGAGAGCCTCCCGTGTTTTCCCTCCAGAGGCTAGTAAGATAAAGTTCATACTTGCTGACATGATTAAAATGTCTTAATAAGCTGGGCCCTGTTTATCTTAAAGTAGTTATCTTTCTATAATTTCACTGGTCCTTCCTGCTGCTCACCATCCTATGATCTACATTCTTATTTTCTGTTACTACTACAAAAACTACTTCCTGTTTTCCAAACACTAGGTATACCTCTTGATTTTTTTTTCCACATTATTGCTTTGTCCTATAACAAATATTCATAACAATCACACTGTTATAAATTCCTCCTTTTATTTACTTGTCATTTGGATATTATTTCCTATCAGAAGCTTTGCTTGATCCCCAGACAGAATGAAATACTTCTATGTATTTTCCTAATTACCTCTTAACTTGTCCCTCTTCCTGGGCCTTAAATTCTATGTGCAAGAATGTATCTTCTGTTCCCTTTACCCCAAAGTCTTGCCAAATGCCTAAAGCTCATTAAATATTTAAAAGTTTTATTTTTATTGAATATTGATTAATTATAATTATATGTACTTAGGGAGTATAAGTAATGCTTGGATAGGTATAGACAACATGGAATAATTGATTCAAGTATTGAATACAGTATCCATTACTTCAAGTACTCATCATTTATTCCCCTTTCTAAGTGAAACTCTGATCCCTTTGACCAGTGTCTCCTCATTCCCACATCCCCCAGTCTCTGGTGCCTACTGTAATCTCTGCTTCTATGTGTTTGATTTTTTTTTAACGCACATATAACTGAGAACATGTAGTGTTTGTCTTTCTGTTTCTGGCTTATTTCATTTAGCATATTGACCTCCAGGCTCATCCTCGTTGTTGCCAATAACATAATTTTTTTCTTTTTAAGGAATATATATATTCCATATATAAAAATTCATATATATGTATTCCTTTGTATATACAAAGCATTTTACATTTTCTTCATCCATTCATTGGTTGATGTACACTTAGGGTGGTTTTGTAACTTGGCTGTTGTGAATAGTACTGCAATAAACATGGGATGGCATGTATCTCTTCAACATACCAGTTTCAAATATTTTGGATATATACACAGAGGGAGGACTGTGTGATTGTATGGTAACTTTATTTATAGTTTTTTGAAGTTCTTCTGTGCTGTTTTTCATAATGGTTGTACTGGTTTATATTCCTATCAACAGCGTAGGAGGGTTTCTTTTTCCTCCACATCTTTATTAAGATTTATCTTCCATTAGTTTGAGAAAGGCCATCTGACAGAAGTAAGGAGATATCATGATTTTACTACGTATTTACCTAATGGTTAGAAATATTGATTGTTTTTTAAATCAATTGACCATTTATATGTCTTATTTTGAAAAATAACTATTAAGGTTCTTTGCTCATTTAAAAAATATAGGTTTTTTTGCTATTGATTTTTTGAGTTCCTTGGATATTTTGGATATTAATCCCTTATCAGATGTATGGCTTATAAATAATATCTTGTATTTTGTAGCTTATTTGTTTAATCTGTTGATTTGCTTCCTTTGCTGTGGAGAAGATTTTTAGTTTGATGTAATCCCACTTGTCAATTTTTATTTTTGTTGCCTGAGCTTTTGGAAAATTTCTTGTCTTCTTTTTTTTTCTTAGCTAATGGTTGTCAATTTTATTTATCTTCTAAAAAATGATTCTTGGTTTTATTCATTTTTCTGCTAGTTTTTGTAGTCTCCATTTCATTTAGTTGTGCTCTAAACTGTTATTCTCTTCATTCTGCTAATTTTGGATTTAGTTTGTTCTTTTTCTAATAAAACATTAAGTCATTCATTTGAGATCCTCCTTTTTTGATGTAGGAATTTGTTGCTATAAACTTTCCTCTCAGGATTGCTTTTGCTGGATCTCATGTCTTTTGGTGTGTTGTTTTCCATTATCACTTATCTCAAGACGCTTTGTTTGGGAGAATGTTTTGTTTTTAATAGTTTATTTTATTTGTACATGTTTGCAGTTAGTGTAATTTACAATCATCTTGGGTCTTGGGGAATGCTTACACATACATATTGCCACACGTTTCTTTTTTATTTAATCCACTTCCTCTCCTTCCCTTCCATCCCTCCCTCCTCCTCCAGTTCCCCTATCCCATTTTTCTTTTTTATTGATATTATTTGCCTTAGCTCCTGTTATGGTATATAATGTTGATATTACCTTGGGTTATTAGGTTCCTATACATGGGATATCTTTATTCCCCTTCCCTTCCTCCTCATCCCTTACTATTGCTTCCTTGAGCCACTTCCCTATTGCAAGAGATCCATCCCCTTGTACTTTTCTATCCAACTTTTATCATTTTCTTTTTGGTACCAGGGATTGAACTCAAGACCTTGCACTTGTGAGGCAGGCATCAACACCACTGAGCTAAATCCCTGGCCCCTTTATCATTTTCTTTGTTTGTACTTGCCGCACATGAATGAGAGATACCATATGGTATTTAAGCTTGTGTGGCTGGTTTATTTCACTCAACATTATATTTTCCAGGCATATCCATGGCTCAAATTTGTAATTCTTTGCAGTTGAATAGTATTCCATTAAATATAAATACCACATTTTTTATGTAATCATCTGTTGCTGGTTATACAGGCTGCTTCCAGGATTTAGCTGTTATGAATTGTGCTGCTATAAATATTGGTATGCATGTCTAGTATCGTGTCTTAAACTCTTGGTGAAAGATGTCTAGCAGGGGCATAGCTGGGTCATATGGTATTTCTTTTCTTTCTTTCTTTCTTTTTTTTTTTTTTTGAGACAGGGTCTCATTACGTAGTTCAGGCTGGCCTTGAACTCACTAGCTGGCCTCAAACTCTCAGCGATCCTCCTGCCTCACCCTCCTGAGTGCTGAAATTACAGGTGTGCACCATCATGCCCAGCTGGAGTTTCTAATTTCAGTTCTTTGAGAAATCTCCATACTGATTTCCATAATGGTTGTATTTGCTTGCATTCCCACCAACAATGAAGGAGGGTTCCTTTTTTCATTAACTATGTGAATATTTGTTATTTGGTTTCTTAACGATTGCCATTCTTTGTGGAGTAAGGAGGAATCTTAGCATTGTTTTAATTTGCATTTCTCTAATGTCCAGAGATATTGAGCATTTTTCATATATTTGTTGACAATTTGTAATTCTTCCTCTCTCAAGTGTCTGTCCATTTCTCTTGCCATTTCTTGACTGGGTCTTTAATTTTAAATGATTTAATTTTTTTTTGAGTTCTTTGTTTATTCTAAATATTAGTCCTCTGTGGAGTAGCTGGAAAAAATATTTTTCCCATTCTGTAGGTTGTCTCATTACTGTATTGATTGATTCTTTTGCTGTTCAGAAGCTTTTTAGCCTGATATAATTCCATTTATTGATTCTTGCTGGTATTTCTTGTGCAATTGAAGTTCTGTTTAGAAAGTCCTTTCCTACACCTATGTCTTCAAGTGTTTTACCTATTTTATGTTCCAGAAAGATTAATGTTTCTGATTTAATGTTTACTTCTTTGATCCATTTTGATTTTAATTTAGTACATGGTGAGAGATAAGGGTCCAACTTCAATCTTCTGCACACAGATAACCAGTTTTCTTAACACTGTTGAATAGGCTGACTTTCCTCCAACATAAGCTTTTGGCCCCTTTTTCAAAGATCAAATAGTTGAATATGTTTGGTTGGGTTTCTGTATCCTCAGTTCTGTTCCACTGACCCATGTATCTGTTCTGTGTTCCAGTACCATGTCATTTTTATCATTATTGCTTTGTAGTATACCCTGAATCTGGCATTACTATGCCTGCTGCTTTGCTCTTATTTCCCCAAATTGCTTTTGCTGTTCTGGGTCTCTTCTGGCACCATATGAATTCCAGGATTGTTTTCTCTGAATCTGTAAAGTAATTTTGAAAATATAGCCATATTGACAATATTGGTTCTGCCTATCCAGAAGCAGGGGACATATTTCCACTTTCTGATGTCCTCCTCTTCAGTCTCCTTCTTCAGAGTACTGTAGCTTTCTTTGTAGAGGTGTTTCACTTGCTTGGTTAGTTAATTCCTAGGTATTTCATTTTTCTTGAAGCTACTGTGAATGGTATTCTTTTCATAATTTCCTTTTCATTGTGCTCATTGTTGATGTACACAAATGCTAATGATTTGTGTGCTGATCTTGTATTCTGCTACTTTGCTGAAGTTGGTTATTAATTCTAAGAGTTTTTTGGTAGAGTTCTTTGGGTCTTCTATATAAAGTATCATGTGATCTGCAAATAATAATTTCAGTGCTTCTTCTCCTATATAGATCTCTTTTATTTTTTTCTCTTGCCAAATTTTTCTGGCTAATGTTTCAAGTAATATGTTAAATACAAGAGGAGACAGTGGATATCATTGTCTTGTTCCTGTTTTTTTTGTTTTTTTTTTTTTGTACCAGGGATCGAGCTCAGGTCCTTGTGCTTGCGCACCAGGCGGTGAAACCACTGAGCTAAATCCCCTGCTTTGTTCCTGTTTTTAGTGGGGATGCTTTTAGTTTTTTCCCATTTTCTATGATGTTGACTATTGGTTTGTCACCAATAGCCTTTATTATATTCAGGTATAGTCCTTCTATACCTCTTTTCTTCAGGGTTTTTATCACAAAGGGGTGTTGAATTTTGTTGAAAGCCTTTTATGCACTATTGATGTGATCATATGATATGGTTTTTGAACTTGCTTCTATTTATGTGATGTATTACGTTTATTGATTTATGTATGTTGAAC